TTACAATTCTGGCTGGAGTGTATGCACTCTCGGAGTGCACTCCTGTCGAGTCTTATTTTTATGCTATTATTATCATTACTCGCCACGGAGTGAGAGGAGTTATGTGATCGCTTCTGTGTAGCTGTGTTCGTGTTGTCGGGGGTGTTCGCCGCTATCGATATTAGCGCGTCAGGGAGCCACAGCGCAGCGACGCCAGCGGAGCCCATGTACATGTGCAGCGAGCTGGCGGATGGTATGCACTCGTTACCGTGAGTGCCCTCTGTATAGTTATTACTATTTTTTAATTAATATTAACATATGTTCTTTTAATTAATAAATTGTTAATTTGAAACCCAATAACGATTAATGCTGTCTTAGGAATGGTAACCTCTCTTTGATTCCGGCTTCCCCCCCCCCCGCATCGATAATGATGCGCCAACATTCCTGCATCGATTATATTGCGCCGGCGCGATTTCTGCCAACGCAATCTACGCTGCATAAAAGTACGCGCGCGTCGACGCATGCCAGTTACTGGAGAGAGTAAAGGAGAAAGCCGTTCTTTGCGTGTGGCGATGCCACGGGCGGGCCACGGTTGCCGCCGTGCGCGAGTCTAATCCTTGCCTCTGGGGCTTGTGTCGAGGTGGTGGTGAGCGATTCCGCCTCGTGGCCATTATCCCTCCGACTTCTACCCCCGCCGGTAATGAGCGCCCCAGATGACCAGTGAAAAAAATTACACACGGCTGGGTCTCGGGGCGGATTTAGCCTCTCGGAAATGCCCTAAAAGCACCCCCCGTAATTTGCATTTTTAGGTTCAATGCAAACCAATTATTAGCAGTGCATAATTTTCATGCACGCCCCTCGACTGTCTGAAAGTAGTCCACCAATATCTCTCTACTTTTTTTTCCCTGCAATGCACAGTTGGCGGGCACCGCTGCCCTCTCGCATGCGTCAAGTTCGCCTATTGGCCAACGATATCGCCCCGCGTCTCTGACGTCGGCGGACGTTTGCTCTGCACGATGCAAACTTGTTTTGTCCCCCCGCCCCGTTTTCTTTTTTTCGATACAGGTGTTCGCTATCTCGTATAAGGCCGTGCCTGGCGGTTGTTCGTTTAGATACACCTGCAGTGGGTTTGGTTTGCCGCACGGCACCGTCAGATCGTCTCTCTTCTCTACTGCCAGTCAGTAACAACACTTACCAGGAGACGTCTAGATCCCCTACTCCTTCCGTTCTGTACGCTTGACGCCTTCAGCGTCTCGTTGCACACACGCCCCCGCTCACCTCCTCTGTAAATTTATTTTCATCAGTAGGTATAATGAACATTATTAACATCTCGTAGGCGTGCATTCACGTGCGTGCGTGCGTGCGTGTATGTGCGCGTATCTAGGCGTGTATTCACGTGTGTGCGTGCGTGCGTGCGTGTATGTGCGCGTATCTAGGCGTGCATTCACGTGCGTGATACCTAGCAGCAGGCCAGCCAGGCAGCGTTCTTCATCATCAGCGTATACATGTAGCGTTTTACAACAGAGGTTGTCAACAGCAAAGCCGCTGCTGTTTACTTAACCTTTTTACGGAGGCCATTGCGATTTTTTGTTCACTCTGACGAATCGGGCTGCATAGTGCGTATAGTGTGTATAGTACACTCTCATGCTGGGCGTGCTATACTCGTGCGCGTGTTGCCTTTTATTCTGTCGTAGTTTTTTGGTATAAGTTCAGGATTCGATAAACAGATAGTGAATATTGTTGCGTGAATATTGTGCTGTTGGGTATACTCGTGCGTGTTGCTTTTTCTTCGGTCGTACTCGTAGTTGTTTTTTCCTTGTCCAGGATTCGATTAACAGATGCCGAATACTGTTTGTTGCATTTCTTTCGAAGTAGTTTTGGAATAGTAACTTGTTCCAAGCGGTGCCGCAACCGAAAGTCGGTGATGGTCCGCATAGCGTGTTGTTTGCCGGAGAGCTGCCTTCACTTCCTTCCTCTGTGTTGAGGGGGCAAGTTTGAAATTCCTGATGGTATTGTACGCAGCGACATACATTTTACCAAGAGCGTATAAAGAAGGATAAGGATTCCTTCTTAATACGCTCTTGATTTTACTGTAGAGCTTGTGCGAGCTATTGTGCTTCGGTAGATTTCACTTGAGGAGCCGCACTCGGCAGTGACGTCATTACGGGTGGGATCACATACCTTCAGATTTACTCACATTTACATCTAATTTTGGCGTGAGTAAGAGTTGCGTGTGGCGCGTAGGTGTGTCATCATCGTCGCGTTGTTGAAGTTAGGTTAGTTTGGCAAGCCCTCACGTTTTGCGGTGTTGCTATCTTCCGGGCGTGGAGGGACGGTCCCGCAACGTGGCAGCACTAGTGTTAGGATTAGGGTTAGGATCAGGGTTAGGGTTAGGGTCAGGGTCAGGGTTAGGGTTTTTGCATCATGATATCTGTCCCCACACCATAGATTAATTTTTGTGGATGACACCCCTATTATATATAGAGATCCGATATATAGATATTTAGTGTTAGGTTTAGTGTTGGAGTTAGGGTTATGGTTACTGTTAAGTTTTGAAGTATACGTCAACTGTATCACGTGACTGTCCCTCCACGCCCGGGGGATAGCAACACCCCACGTTTTGGCTCTCCGTATATCCTCATCTCGTATATATCCTCATCTAGATCTGGTATATATCCTCATCTAGATCTGGTATATCATCATCTGGTATACCCTAACATCGTATATATATCATCATCTGGTATATCCTAACATCGTATATATATCATCATCTGGTATATCCTAACATCGTATATATATCATCATCTGGTATATCCTCATGGCTGCTGGCTGCATGGTTATGGCCCTGTGAGTGTTGGTTGAAAATCCGGAGCAGCATATTGCGATGACCCCTTCACTGCGTTTTTTTAAGATATTATTTTTACTTTTTATTCCTTACTGCTTTTACTTAACTTTCGTGCGTGTGTGTGTGTGTGTGTGTGTGTGTGTGTGTGTGTGTGTGTGTGTGTGTGAGGGGAGGAGGACGTGAGTGGATGAAAGGACTTGAGCGAGAGCGAGATGGAGGGGGAGAGTTCGTTCTGGGAGAGAGAAAAAGTAAGGGAACCAGAAATAATGAGAGAGGGAGGGAGTGCACGATGGCAGTTAAGTGAGAGTGAGAGGAAGGGAGCGATTTCATGATGGGCGAAGGGAAGAGAGAAGTAGGAGAGGGGGAGGGAAACAGTGTGGAGGAGAGCGAAAGTGAAAGCACAAAGCCGCATGAGCGAGCGGGAAAGACAATGAGAGAACGTACGCATGGGAAACACTCGGACGAGAATGAGAAGAGCTCGTAACAAAAGGAAGGAAGGGGGTAAGGGTGAGGGTTAGGGAGATAATGATAGGATGACTCATGCATGCAGAATAGCGTGGACTTTCAACAATGGCTTGTTGTGTCACGTGAATACAGTGGAGTCAGTGTTGCAATTGAGTGCATGAGGGGATTCATGCATGTGTATGTGTGTTTAATTTAGACAGGCGAGAGCTCGATCGCTTATATACATGTCACTGTGTATATGTTTGTGTTATTAGATGCACCATTGTGTGTTTGTGTTATTTAGATGGGCAACAGTTTGATTCTTCGTTCTTACATGCACACTTGTTTGTGTTGTTTAGATGGATAACAGTTCGATTCCTTGTTCTTACATGCACACTTGTTTGTGTTATTTAGATGGACGACAGTTCGATTCCTCATTTTTACATACACCATTGTGTTTGTGTTATTTAGATGGGCAACTGTTCGATTCCCAGTCTTCACGAATGAAATTTCTAAACACTGGACCTTCGGTCTAACAAGCCAGCAAAATTTACTGGACCGGACTAAATTTTACTGGACCAATATTTTTTTGACATTTTTGACAATAAAGAACAAAACAGTAATATCATTTTGTATTTTACCTATAATAATACCTTCTACATACTGCTATGATAACAGTAGTAATACCTATCAAATATACATCACATATATATACCTTCTACACACTACAATAAAAGCTGCAAAATAGAACAACAAATCTGCGTTAGTCGGCAGTGAGCATGTATCACACATACCTTCTACAAACTGCAATGATAACAGTAAGGATACCTATCAAATATACATCACATACCTTCTACACACTGCTATGATAACAGTAAGGATACCTATCAAATATACATCACATACCTTCTACATACTGGGTAGTGATACCTATCAAATATACATAAGATATGATACCTTTTACATGCTGCAATGATAACAGTAGTGATACTTATCAAATATTCATCACATACCTTCTACACACTGCTATGATAACTGTAAGAATACCTATCAAATATAGTTTAATATACATCACATGCTATTTACACACTACAATAATAACAGTAGTGATATACCTATCAAATATACATCGCATTCAAATTACAATTCAATACAATTCAATTTAAAAATTCATTACACATTCGTGTTCAGAACGCCGTATTATTATTATTAATGATCCATTTGCTTTTAGGACCGCATTTTACACGATGCATTTAGCCATAAATTAGACTGGTACTCGCTCCCACCTCTCGGCTTAGTTGCTCATTGGGCGACTTAGTTGCCCAACGATCAACTAAGCCGAGAGGTGGGAGCGAGTACCAGTCTATGCCATAAACTAGAACGGACGAGCGCAAGCTATATATATGCGCAGTCGTTGATTAAAGTGACGGTTGGTTAGCGATGAAACAAAGTTTAAAAAGTGTTATTTATACAGTAAGTAGTCTCATAAATACTTTGATAAATTATTTAAATACTGTAACTAGAGTGGCTGAAAAAAACGGGCGGACCGACGGTCCATTTAACTTGTTAAATTTACTGGACCGAGAGAGATTTTGGTGGTCTCGGACCACGGTCCACCGCCTAACGTCGAAGACTGGCTTCCTCATTCTTACATGCACACATATATGTGTTATTTAGATGGATGACAGTTCGATTCCTTGTTCTTACATGCACACTTGTTTGTGTTATTTAGATGGACGACAGCGCGATTCCTCGTCATACGTCGCGTTCCCGGTCGTCCGACGAGCCGCACATAGGAAAATACAGGTTGATGAAAACAATAGGAAAGGGTAACTTTGCCAAAGTAAAACTAGCCAAGCATCTACCTACAGGAAAAGAGGTAGGACTGAGTCCTAGTTTTATAACAGTATGTCTAGATATGTGATTACACTCATACATGGATTCTTCTTCTCCTTCCTATTCTTCTTCTTCTTCTTCTTCTTCTTCTTCTTCTTCTTCTTCTTCTTCTTCTTTTTCTTCTTCTTCTTCTTCTTCTTCTCCTTCCTATTTTTCTTCTTCTTCTTCTTTACCTCCGCCCAACGGAGCTGGAGGAGGTTATGTTTTCGCTCTCGTGTGTTCGCGTTAGACTGGTACTCGCTCCCACCTCGATTCCCCCATCGAGTAACTAAGCCGAGAGGTGGGACCGGGTACCAGTCTAGTGTTGTGTATTCGTGTGTTCGCGCGATCGATATTAGCGCGTCGGCCAGTGAGCCAGCCAGCCAGCCAGCGCAGCGAGCCAGCTCGTAACACATACATGTTACATTCTGGCGGAGGTATGCACTCTCTGTGAGTGCACTCTGTCTAGTCTTATTATTATTATTATTATCATTACCTCCGCCCACGGAGTGGAGGAGGTTATGTGATCGCTCTCGTGTAGTGTGTTCGTGTGTTAGTGTGTTCGCGCGATCGATATTAGCGCATCAGCCAGCCAGCGCAGCGAGCCAGGGAGCATGTACATGTGAGCGAGCTGGCGGAGGTATGCACTCTCCGTGAGTGCCCTCTGTCGAGATATTACTATTTTTATTAATATTATAATATTGTTATTTTAATATAATTGTTAATTTGAAACCAATAACATTAATTCTGTTAGAATGGCATTACCTCTCCTTGATTCGGCTTCCCCCCCCCCCATCGATAATGATTGCGCAACATTCCTGCATGATTATTTCGCGGCGCGATTCTGCCAACGCATCAGCGCGTGCGCGCGTCAGCATCCGTTACTGGAGAGGTAACGAGAACCGTTTTGCGTATGGGACGACCACGGGCGGCCACGCGTGCGTGTGTGCGATTAATCTGCTCTGGGGCGTGGAGATGGTGAGAGCGATTCCGCGTGGCATTATCCCCGAACTTCCCCCCCCTCCCGGTAATGAGCCCCAATGACCAGTGAAAAAAATACACAGGGGCTCGGGGTGATTTAGCCCTCGAAATGCTAAAAAGAGCCCCGGAAATGCCAAAAAGAGCCCCCGTAAATTTGCATAGAGTTCAATGCAAACCAAATTTTAGAGTCCTATTTTCATGCACGCAGAGCGCTTGAAAAAGTAGCCCCCGAAAATTAAATTATATTTTTTTCCGAACATGCCAATGACAGTTGCCGGGCACCGCTGCTCTCGATGCGCATCGCCATGGCAACGATTCGCCCCGCGTCATCCGCGAACGCGTGACGTGAGCGCGAGGTTTGTTGACGATGCAAACTTGTTTTTGTCCGCCCCCCCCCGCCCGTTTTCTGTTTATTTCGTACGGTGTCGGTATCTCAGTATAAGGCAGTCATCGTTGGCGTTTTCGGTTTGAATACACCTGCAGGGTTTTTCCCGCACGCAACCCTCGTCGATCGTCTCTCTCTACTCTTTGACCGTTCAGAACAACACTTACGGTGTAACGTTACGACTCAGCGTTCTCGATTGGCACCAAGCGCGCGTAAATATTTATTTTTATCAGTAATATAATGAACATTATTAACATAAGCTAAGATCTTTTGCAGCGATTCAAACAAGAGTAAAAAAATAGTGATTAAAACATGATAAAAAATGGCGTAACATGCAGTCTTACTATCACATAATTGGCCGAAATTGCACTACCCATAAAGAGAACCGGACTCAACCTTCAACAACACCTTCTTTGCTAGGAAGTGTGTCAGCGATCCGCAAAGTTTAGCAACAGGATAGGGTCCATCGCGCGACACAGAGCTAAAAACGACAACGGAATAAACTTAGCAGTCAATGGGTCATCTAGAACTCGACACTGCGAAAGCACGTACGATTGCAACGTGTATATTAGTGTGCAGGCGGGGATCCCTGCGTAGTTTCCAGGTGCGCCACTCTCCTCCCGGCTACCATTGCCGCCCTTCTGGTTTTTCTCGGTTCTCAGGAAGATATTTGTAGATTGATGCGGTACATCTGTCTAAACCGGGGGGGGGGGGACGTTTTCCTAACAGTGGTTTCATGCAATGAGCTCAGCTACGGCAGAGCGTGCAGTTGGCCCGCAACAGCACTGTGTGTTAGAGCGGATGGTTACGTAGAGAGAAGGCGGCGGGTTGCTACTGCCAAACGATAAACGTTTTCGCAGGGTGAAGCACACATCGTCGTACAGCGAAGGTCAAGTCTAGCTCTGTGTTACTGACTTACTACTAGCGGGGGATTGGAGCGCCCCCCTCGCCCCAGCTGTTGCGGCGGTGCCCCGAAAAGTCTGACACTGGGTAGCTTAGGTCCGAATTTCGCAATAGGATAAGTCGTCGTCGATGTAGTGGTAATTTAGAGCGGTAACTGTGCGCAGCGGCGGTTGTGTGGCGTGTCGTGTGTGTGTGTGTGTGTGTGTGTAGTGTGTGTGTGTGTGGCGTGTGTGCGTGTGTGTGTGTGTGTGTTGTGTGTTGCGTGTAGTGTGAGTGTAGTGGTGTGTGTGTGTGTGTCGTGTGTGCGTGGTGGTGTGTGTGTGTGTGTGTGTGTGTGTGTGTGTGTGTGTGTGTGGTGTGTGTGTGTGTGTGTGTGTCGTGTGTGTGAGTGCAGTGCGTGCGTGGTGGCAGTGTGATGCGCGTGCGCGTGCGGCGTGCCGCGTGCGCCGTGTGTGTGTGTGTTGTGTGATGTGTGTGGCGCAGCGCGTGCGTGTGTGTGTGAGGTGTGTGTGTGTGTGTGCGCACGCGCCGCAGTCGTGGTGGTGTGTGTCGCGTGGTGCGTAAGTGTGCGTGCGTGCGTGCGGTGGCGGTTGTTTGTGTACTGTTTGGTTTGGTGGCGGTTGCGGTTTTGAACACCTTCACACAAGCTTGCTAGCTAGCTGGTGCTAGGCAGATACTGACCTTACCACTGTGAGAAAACTGAAGGACACTGACTGACTAGCGCCAGTGAATACTATGCATGCTAATGCCACAGCACGGCCGATGGGCATTAGCTGCTATTAAGCTGTTTACAGTATTGCCGTGGGCATTCTGTAGATGTAACTAGCCAACTGCGCAGAGTGTGTGCCTGAGAGAGGTGGGTGGATAGGAGAGGGGGTCGTGTGAGAAGGGAGAGGTGTATGGTTGGCCGGCGCTGGAGTATGGAGTGTGGTACCACACTGGGGTATAGAAGTGTGGTAACCCGCTGGGGTGGGGAGATGTGGGCCCGCATGCTGGGGTAGGTGAGATGGGCCCCAAGCTTGGTAAGGGAGTGTGCCCGCCCACACTGGGGTAATGGAGTGTGGTAAGCCACGCTTGGGAGGGAGTGTGGCCCCACACATGGGTAATGGAGTGTGGTACCAAAGCTGGGGTGGGAGTTGGCCTCCCATGCTGGGGTAGGGAGTGGCCCCAACTTGGGTAGGGAGGTGGTGGCCCCCCCCCAGCATAGGGCGTATGCGAGTGTGGTACCACGCTTGGGTAGGGAGTGGTGGCCCACACTGGGGTATGGAGTGTGGTACCAAAGCTGGGGTAGGGGAGTGGTGAGACTCTACGCTGGATAGGGAGTTGGCCCCGAAGCTTGGGTATGAGGAGTGTGCCCTCCCCCCACACTTGGGTATGGAGTGTGGTACCACGCTGGGGTAGGGAGTGTGGTACCACGCTGGGGTAGGGAGTGTGGTACCACGCTGGGGTAGGGAGTGTTGCCCCATAGCTGCGGGTAGGGAGTGGTGGCCCCACGCTGGGTAGGGAGTGGTGGCCCCCACCTGGGTAAGGGAGTGTGGTCAGCCACGCTAGGGTAAGGGAGTGGTTGCGCCATGCTGGGGTAGAGTGGGGCCCACGCTGGGTTGGGGCCCCAGCTGCTGGGGTAGGGAGTGTGGCCCACGCTGGGGTAAGGGAGTGCATGAGGCCCCACGCTGGCAGAGGGAGGTGGTGAGCCCCACGCTGGGGTAAGGGAGTGTGGCCCCAACACTGGGGTAAGGAGAGTGCCCCCACGCTGGGCGTAGGGAGTGTGTGCCCCACGCTGGAGTAGGGGTGGTGCCCCGACGCTGGGGTAGGGAGTGTGGCCCCACGCTGGGGTAGGGAGTGGTGGCCCCACGCTGGGGTAGGGAGTGTGGCCCCACACTGGGGTAGGGAGAGTGGCCCACGCTGGGTAGGGAAGTGTGGCCACGTTGGGTAGGGAGTGGCCCACACTGGGAGTTTACGGGCTTTTTTGCGGGTGCCTTCTCAGATGAACAGTACATACGCTGGCAGCGTAGTGGGCGGCAAGCCCCATTCCCCGTGACTACATAGTTTGACAATTGCCCCTGAGCGCTCCTGGTAAAGCGTGACACGGTAATTCTCGCTTGGTAGCAACAAGAGTAGATTAAATAACAATTAATGTCTAATAAATTGTTAAATTAATCTACTACTTGGTAGCAAGCCATTGTGTGTCAAACGCGGCGTGCGTGCGCGCGTATCTAGGCATGCAATTCACGTGCGTGGCGTGCGTGCCGTGTGTGCGTGGTGCGTGTGTGCGTGCGTGCGCAGCGTATCTAGACATGAATTCGCGTGCGTAGCGTGCATGGCGCGTATGCTAGAGCATGTATTCACGTGCGTGGAGCGTGCCCGGCGTGCGTGCGTGCGTGTATGGGCGAACGCGCTGTATCTAGACTATGCGTGCGCATAAGAAACTGAGCGTCGCGTGTATGTGCGCTTATCTAGGCATTGTATTGCAGTGTATATGTGCGCGTACTAGGCGTGTAATGTGCGCGTATGATAGGGCGTGTATTCACCAGGTGGCATGGCGTGCGTGTCATGTGACGCTTATCTAAGGCATGTAATTTCACTGTGCGTGCGTGCGTGCGTTGCGTAGCGTGCGTGCGGCGTGCGCTGGCGTGCGTCGCGTGCGTGCGCTGCGTGTAATGGTTGCGCTTATCTAGGCATTGTATTCACGTGTGGTGCGGTGTGTATTGACGCGTAATCTAGCGTGCATTTCACGGTGCGTGTATGTGCGCAGTATCTAGGCGTGTATTCACAGTGCGTGCGTGCGTGCGTAGCGTTGCGTAGCGTGAGTATGTAGCGCTTATCTAGGCACTGTTATTAACATGTGTAGCGTACGTGCCACGTGTGTGTATGGTGCGCGTGTCTAGCGTGGCATTCACGTAGCGTGTATGTGCGCGTATGCTAGGCGTGTATTCACCGTTATATCAGTGTGTGCGTGCGTGCGTGTATAGTGCGGCGTAAATCTAAGGCAGTGCATACACCGGTGCGTGGCGTGCGTGCGCTGTATGTGGGCGCTATGCTAGGCGTGGTATGTACACGTGTGGTGTGTGCGTGCGTGGTGCATGCGTGCGATGTATGTGCAGGTATGCATAGCGTGGCATTCAGCGGGCTGCGTGCCGTGCGTCGCGTGCGTGCATCAGCGTGCGTGTATGTGCAGCGTATCTAGGCGTGCATTTACAGTGACGTGGCGTCGTGCGTGTAGTGCGCGTAATCTAGGCGTGTATTCACGGTGTGCGTGCGTGCAGTGCGTGTATGGTTGCGAGTATACTTAGGCGTGCATTCACGTGCGTGATACCTAGGCAGCAGCCAGAGCAGCGTTCTTCATATCAGCGTATACATGTAGCAGTTTTACAACAAGAGGTTGTCAACAGCAAAGCCGCTGCTTGTTACATAACCTTCTTTACGGAGGCATTGCGATTTTTTGTTCCACGTCTGACGAATACGGGGCTGCATAGTGCGTATAGTGTAGTATAGTACATCTCATGCTGGCCTGTGCTATACTCGTGCGCGTGTTGCTTTTATTGTCTGTCGTAGTTTTTTTGGTTTCAGGATTCGATAAACAGATAGTGAATATTGTTGGCGTGAATATTGTGCTGTTGGGTATACTCGTGCGTGTTGGCTTTTTCCTTCGTCGTAACTCGTAGTTGTTTTTTTCCTTGTCCGGGATTTCGATTAAGCAGATGCGCGAATACTGTTTTGTTGCATTTCTTTCGAAGTAGTTTTGGAATAGTAAGTTGTTCCAAGGGTGGCCAGCACCGAAAGGTCGGTGATGGACACGCATATGCGTGTTGTTTGCGGAGAGCTGCTTACATTCTCTTCCTCTTGTGTTAGGGGGCATAGATTTGAAATTCCTGGATGGTATTGTAACAGCAGCGACATAACATTTTACCAAGCAGCGGTATAAAGAAGGATAAGATTCCTTCTAAAATAGCTCCGTGATTTTAGCTGTAGAGGCCTTGTGCGAGTATTGTGCTTCGGTAGATTTGCACATTAGAGGAAGCCGCACTCCGACAGTGACGTCAATACGGGTGGGATCACATAGCGCTTCACACAGCAATCTGCCAACGCACTCTGCGTCTGCTGCTGCTACTGCTACTGGCTACTGCTAGCTGCTGGCGCGGTGTGGATTGTGGCTGCTGCTGCTCTGCTGCTGTTGCTAATGCTGGCTACTGCTTGGTGGTTGTGTGCATGTCTGCTCGCTGCTGGCTGCCGTGCTGCTGCTGGTGTACTGCTTACTACTTGTAATGGCGGCGGTTGTGCTGCGCTGCCTCGATGATGATGGGGATAGGTGGTGGTGATACTGGTGGTGGTGGTGGTGGTGGTGATGAGTGGTGGTGGTGGTGTGGTGATGGTGGTGGTGGTGGTGTTGTTGTTGTTGCTTGTTGTTGTTTCGTTGTGTTGTTGTTGCGGGTGGTGGTGGTGGTGGAGGTTGGTGGTGGTGGTGGTGGTGTGGTGGTGGTGGTGGTGCTGTGCCTGCTGCTGCTGCCTGCTAGCTGCTGCTGTTGGTGTGGTGGTGATGACTGAATGGTGGTTGCGTGGTGCTGCTCGCTGCTGGTGATGGGTGTGGTGATGGTGGTAGTGCTGCTGCTGTTGTTGTTTGGTAGCTGTGGTGCTGCTGCTGCTAGCTGCTGCTGCTGCTGGTTTGGTGGTGCCTGGTGGTGCTGCTGCTGCTGCTGCCTGCTGCTGTTGGTGTGGTGGTGATGGACTGATGTGTGGTGGTGCTGCTGCTGCTGGAGTACTGGTAGCTGGTGCTTATTTTGTGGCTGCTGGCTGTTGTTGTGGCATGGATATCGTGACATTTCCATTGGGTGAAAAAACCATCATTGAAAACGCGGGAAAACGTACGGGGTGGATAACTAAAAGGGTTAACATGAGGGAAAATGCGTAGCAACGCCACCGTGCTGATAGCGGCACGTTTCTATATAATCGATATTTGCACACATGCGCATCACCGCAGGCAATAATGTAATTGATGAAGCAATGGTTATGAATAAAAAATCCGTGCTTGTTTTTTTTTTTTCCTCTCAATCGATCTTGGTTGAAGCCGTTTTTTTGCTGAAGGGTTGTGTGCTTTTGGCCTTTAGTAAGTGTGGCGCTTTGCTTAGTAAGTGGTGCGCTGACCTAGTGATTTCAGTGTGGGGTGTAGCTAAGATTTTTTATAGGCTAGCGCCTCCGCAGGCTTAAGTTTTATTTGTCTAAATGATTCGTGTGGGTATAGGTGAAATCAGGGGTTAATAATGCAAATTTGTCCATTATTAATCCCTGGTGAATAAATGGTGTTATATAGGATAGTGTTAGAGGCGCATCCTTATCTTAAAGTGGCCACGTTGTTGTTGGGCTATTATTATTACTATTATTATCATCCGTTTGTCGTCGTCGTCGTCATCATCATCATTTATTTAGGCCACCATACCTATTACGTTGAACCATTGTAATTCTGAAAGTAATCATTTCATTTGCAGGTCGCTATCAAAATCATCGATAAAAGCAGCGACTAAACCCGTCAAGTTGCAAAAAGGTACGTAGCGTGTGCACCGGCAGCCAATCGCGATGGGTAATTACAGTATTTCACATAACGAGGTGGCGATGCACAGTTTGCGCGATGATGTCATCGGTTGATATAAAGTTGTATTGATGCACGTTTGTACTCGTGGACGTCAGCGCATGTTACCTGATGTCCTCGTAGATACACAGGGTGCGAAATTAACGGGAGTGGGCGCGGAGTCAAATACTCCCTGATTAAAACTGTCGAACTCCCTGATTTGACATATGCGTAAGTCCGTGTGACTCCCCTGAAAATCTGCAATACGAA